CATTTAAACATGTTCGCACAACACGCGCTTTAACATTTAAACATGTTTTCTCTCCATCTCCGAAACACTTTGCCTCAAATCACAATTTATCGTCTCAAATGTATCGGTTACTGATTCTGGCCTCCAACAACACAACAAGAGGACATTTTAACTTGTAACTTTAGCCCACGGAGGTGCTTCATGTTTAGCCTCCAGCTAACTTTGTGACGTATTCATGATGAAAAACTTTGTTTACTAAAGTACCCGTGTTCATGTGGACGAGGCCTAAGAGACAAAAACAAGCCGTGCTGTGTTATTATTTTTGCTGTAAAAACGACCTTGTGATGTTTTCTGATGTCGGCCTCGGGTTCTTTCTTGTGACTTTTTATTATTCCACTGATGTTACCGTGTAAACCAAAGTAAACATCACATTTGTTGTCTCTTTTTTGCGATCGTGATGTCGTTAGTTCAGATCAAGAACATACGAGACACGTGAGCAACAAACACACAGTCCTGCATTTAATAATAATCCTACAAAATAATAAATACATGAATATCATCAGCAGATTATAAAGTATTGGTAGTAAAAGTACACATTCTGCAGTAATGTCTCCTGTGACATGATGAGCATGTTCCTGTTGTAGCTGCTTCAGGTGGAGATACTTTATATATTAGTCCAGCTATATAACTAGCTGGACTAAACAGCTAGTTTAGTCCAGTGGGTCTCAACATAAGGGTCGGGCCCCTCCAAAGGGTCACCAGATAAATGATTATTATAATAACATTTATAAAATATATTATAAGTAGGGCTGGGCGGTATGACCAAAAATGCATATCACGGTATTTTGTAAGATTCTGCATCACAGTATATCAGGGTATTTTTTTTTTCTGCGTTAAAGCATTAATTAATTAACGCCGAAAAGAACCTGCCGGCCAGCGAGCGGTGAACAGCTGTTTGTGTGCCGTGTCTTCCGTTCCGTCACTTCCTGTTTCCTTCTCCTACATTCCCCTGGGTCCTAAGCCCCTCCATGGAAAGAAACGGGATTAGACCGTAGGATTTAGTTGTTAGTAGGTGTTGTTTAGGTTTATTTCTTTGGTTATTTTTATATATATATTTATTCTTTTATTTTATTTTATTATCAGAACAGTGAAGAAAAGGTTACCCTGAAAATGCACACTCCGGTACAGTAGGTGGCGGTATGCACCTATGCAAGTTGGTTGCGATCCGCCAATGGAATTTAAAGAAGAAGTCCCTCCAAGTTCAGCTTCTTATCACCCTCTATGTAGCAATGTACATTTATAACAAATACCACACATATTACACGGTAATCAGCGTTGCATATGTGTCTGACCTAAATACCTTTTGTTGTTCAGTCTTTGTTCATCCTGCATCGCTCTTTTCTGTTCTTTAATGTAACTTTACTGCCGCGACAGAGCCTCTCCCAGCTGTTAGCGGGCTGTTAGCGAGCTTTACCCAGCATGCAGTTCGGCGGTGAAATTTTATAAATGTACAATTATTAGTGCTACAAATTGTTTATCTGTCACAAACTGTTGTGTGTGGTGTTTTGCCCTGTTAAAGAGCATTAGTTGTGGGTTTTTAATTGTTGTTATAAAGTTATGACCAAGACTAGGGTTCCCACTCAATACGCTTAAGACAACTAGCTCTGACTGTAGCACTCCTAGCTGCGAACAATATATTTTGCTGCCTGTTGAAGAGCGACAGCAGTTGTTTCGGCTGTGCACCGGTATGACGGTATATGAAAAATTCATATCGTACGGGAAATTAAAACCGGTATACCTCCCAGCCCTAATTATAAGCCTATGTGTTAAAAATGTAAATCTGAATAATAACTATATTTTATAGCTAAATACACCCTTTTTATAAAAATGTAGTGCAGTAAAAATGACAACATTTACGTCTTAAGTGTAGAAGTATAAAGTACATACAGTCTGCACTTCCCGACCCCCTGCGGGGCCCCGGCCCCCATGTTGAGCACCACGGCTCAGAAGCCACTTCCTGCCACAGAGCTGCAGCGAGCGGCGGTTTGTTTACTGTGTTCATGTGTTGTGTATCTGGACTTTAGTGTGCAGCTGAACTTTACCAGAAATATCAACCAGATACAACTCGTCAACGTATCGATTATTGACGATCAATAGATTCATTCAATCGATGAGCTAAACAACAACATTTACCAAAGTCCCTGTTCACACTGATGAACTCTGGTTCCTCTCATGACGTTAAAGAGGGTTGTGGTTCAGCCTGTTGGTGGTCCAGTTGCATTGTGGGTAATGTAGCAGCCAGCTTTTGATTAAGGAAGAAAGATATGTGTTTAATAATAAAAAAAAACATACCTCTGGTTCTGCTGCGTCGATTTTGACAATATTGTAGGAGTGCGTTGATGAGTCTATGTAGTACTCTGTAGTATTGTAGTACTACACCGTGGGCCGACTATTACCTCCTTAGTAGAGCCCAAATGTAGTTGTTAAAGTATGTGAAGAACGGTGGAAACGGAAGAAGAAACAGACGATGCAAAATGTGAATATTTTGACATTTTGGGACTTGCTCTTATTTCTTCCTGAGAGTTAGATGTTGAGATCAATACCACTCTAATGACTAAATAACTCGTTATATCACGACTGTTTAATCCTTTTTATTTAATCTGGTAATCTGATTTAACATCCAGAGCTCTTTTGCAAGAGAGACCAGAGTACAGCCGAGAAACAAAGAAACGTTACAAACTCACCAAATGAAGTTAGCAGGGCTAGCTGTCTTTATGCTAAGCTGAGAGGAAGAGAGGAGGAGGAGAAGAAGAAGAGTGTAGAGGAGGAAGAGAGAGAAGGAGAGGAGGTTAAAGATGAAGCTGGTAAAACGTGAACTATTTGACACGTTGAAGGTAAATTAAAGATTGTGTGTGTGTGTGTGTGTGTGTGTGTGTGTGTGTGTGTGTGTGTGTGTGTGTGTGTGTG